TCAAAAACCCCTTTTGACAACCTTGTGCCGGGCCCTGGCTCTAATTCGCCGTTAACCACTTCACGACCAGGTTCGATACATTCTTCTGAGGAATACTGAATTCTTTTCTTCTGAGGAATACTGTATTCGCAAGGTATAGTATATGCAAAATTTCGAGCAATTATGCGAGCAAAGATTCGGTTTCAGCTCGATTGGAACCCAGCTGGAACGGTTCGAGCTAGTCCGAGAATTGCACAACTTTCGTTCACATGTTCCATAAATACTTGAGCTAAGGTTCGGGTCCGCTCACGCGCGTACAGGCACCAAATTTGGTGTCGTATCATTGCTATCGGTCATGCAACGTGCTTACATGCCGCATGTTGGAGACTGCCGGTGGCATGCTTGCGGCTCTTTCTGCAATTCCCGCAAAAACGCTATCCCCTTTGCTTTTCCCTCCAGAAACGATGTCCAGCTTGATCCAGTTCCAGCTGTGCAAAGCCCTGATCAGAATTTAGCTAACGTTCCGTAGGGGTCATGATTTTACGCGGATATACCTGGGATAACAGTGTTGGATTTTGGAATTTGATAAGGCTTGAAACCACATACGACGCGAAGGATCTTAGGGATATCCTTTCTAGCGCCAAAACCATCTGTTCTTTATTGGATCACCATTCCGCTCCAATTTGAATCGATAAGCTCATTTACAGGAAGATCAATGTAGTCTACGCTGCCGGAAACTTCGCCTTCAGCAGCGCGAACATTCTGGCTACCAAGTTTATTATCAGACTTCTTTGCCCCAAGAGACTGAAATTTAGTCGCTTGAGTGCATGACCTAAGGGCTGGCAATCAGTCAATTACCCAGAAAGATTTCAAAATCAACGGAAAGTTGATAAGAGTCAAACAGAAGAAAACCCCACCAGTACTCCTTGAGGGTTGTCATTTGCGATAAAAAAAAACAAGAGAAGAAAGAACAGAGTTACGAAGAAGTAGGAAGAAAAACCTGACCACAGATCAGGTTCGGAAATAGGATAGAGAACGAAAAAAACGACCGCTCGTTGTGGCCAAGATTGTGAGATGCTTACTTTTAGAGTTGAGGTGCGCTTGTAGACTTGAAATTAAGGTACAGTCTGTTTTGTTGTTAAGGCTGTTTCACTGACGAATTATTAAGAAATTGCGAGTTACCGTAGCAGGTATAAACTCGAACATTCAGCGTTGAGTTGTACATGCCTGCCCATACTTTATGAAAATGAAAATTCATTGATTAACAATCAACAATCGATAAACAATCAACATCGATTACAAAATAGATGTAAAAACGCGCCTGCAAAAACAAAGATATCATTCATGGTACAGTTCACAATGTGACTGTTCAAGAATCAAGTTGTGCAACCTCAAAATCATCTCCCAAGAAATTTCGATCGGATCCTCTTTACTACAGACTTACCTGCTTAGCCACTTTTACCACCGCAAAAACATTTTTGTTTTTCTTCTCACAGACCAGCTTGAAATTCACCTGCACGGTGACTGAGTGGGGCTTCATCTTGTGACGGCTGTGAGGGTGCTGCACCACCGACCACGGAGTATGAATCCACGATATCGAGCAGATATTTGGGTTTCGCAGCGGTGAGTTGGCAGTGCGACACTTTTTGCAAATACATAACTTTCCTCAACCCGATGGTGGGCAGCAGCACGATACGTATGGCCATATTTATCCAAGCAGAATCGGGTCCGTCCACTTTGCATGCGTGGGCTTTGGCCGATACCCTGTAACAATACTGGTTCCGAAGAGGACCGATGGATGGCGTTTTTACAGACGAATCACTGCATTCCTTCCAATCGGCTCTTTCTCCATTTGATATTCTTCGCTTTTTGGTTCGATAATGATATTAGAGTCAACAGACATCTCAAACTTGGGTAATTAAACCT